ACTTATACAAATCAAACATTTACTGATAATTACAATTTTATTTTTTCTTTTAAAAAATCTGTGTGTGGGGCTGGAGAGATGGCTCAGTGGTTAAGAACATTGCCTGCTATTCCAGAGGTCCTGAGTTCAATTCCCAGCAACCACATGGTGGCTCACAACCATCTGTAATGAGGTCTGGTGCCCTCTTCTGGCCTGTAGGCATATACACAGAATATTCTATACATAATAAATAAATAAGTAAATAAATAAATATTTTTTAAAAAATCTGTGTGTGTGTGTGTGTGTGTGTGTGATAGTTTCACAGAGAAATGTCCTCCTTAGGGATCTGAACACTTGGTGGTGCTATCTGGAGAGGTTTGGGGGAGGTGCGGCATTACTGGAGCAGGTATGTCATTTGGAGAGGGCAGGAGAAACTTTGAAGTTTTAAGCCTCGCCACTTGCAGTTTGCTCTCTCTGCTTCCTACCTGTATTTGAGCTCTGAGCTTCCTGTTGCTGCTGCCGTGCCTGCCGCTTATAGCTACCTCCCTGCGGTGCCTGACACTTTTATCGCTACCTCCCTACCATGCTGGACTCTTATCTCTCTAGACCCGTAAACCACAATAAACTCCCTTCAGTTCCCTGGTCATGGTGTTTTATCACAGCAACAGAAAAGCAACCAATACAGTTTTTTGTTCTTGTTTTTTTTTAATATTTATTTATTATGCATACAATATTCTGTCTGTGTGTATGCCTGCAGGCCAGAAGAGTGCACCAGACCTCATTACAGATGGTTGTGAGCCACCATGTGGTTGCCGGGAATTGAACTCAGGACCTTTGGAAGAGCAGACAATGGGGCTGGAGAGATGGCTCAGAGGTTAAGAGCGCTGGCTGCTTGCTTATTTTTATAGAAATAAATCTTGGCTAAACGTTTGTTATTGAAGGACACAGACATTCTTCAATAGTTCTCAGGGCTTATCAGTACTTTGATTTTAGAATTGCCAATGCTGAATATACCACTTTACATAAAGATTCCATTGTTTCCCATACTGAAGGGCTTCATGGGGTTAGCTCAAACTGCTCAGCATAGCCCAGGACCAAGGGGGTTAGGGGGCGCACCTGCCGCTGGAGCTGGCAGACTTTGCACCAGCCCTGAGGTACAGCTCTTGCCTTTCCCTTTACCTCAGTCACATTTGACTGCTGAGTGGACCTAAGCTAGGTGAGAATTCACCACTCCAAGCACACATCTTTGCAGAAAGAAATGTACACAGCCCACTCTGAGACTGCGCACTCTGGAGCAAGTCTTTGTTGTTGTTTTGTTGGGGTTTTTTGGTTTTTGTTTTTCGAGACGGGGCTTTCTGTAGCTTTGGAGCCTGTCCTAGACCTGGCTCTTATAGACCAGGCTGGCCTCGAACTCACAGAGATCCATCTGCCTGCCTCTGCCTCCCGAGTGCTGGGATTAAAGGTGTGCGCCACCACCGCCCGGCTCGCAAACTTAGTCTTTTCCCCCTGTGCTGTTTTACTATTTATGCCTTTCATGAACTGTTGCCGGACTTTTAAAGCCTTCCTGAAGCTTATAGGCACAGATAGCATTTGGCTTTCTGTCAAATTTCCTCCTAGCAACTCCTATTGGTGCAAATCTTGCCACATTTGCCTTTGAGTAAGGCCAGATGACCTTTTTGTCTGCTTCTCTATTCTCTTATCACAGGGAATACAACAAAACCACTTATTCCCAAACTAGTCCTGTAGTGGTATGAATGAGAATGGACTATATATATATATATATATATATATATATATATATATATATATTTGGTAGAGTTTTTTTTAAATTTTTTTATTTATTACATCTCCAATGTTCTGCCTGCCGGTATGCCTACAGGCCAGAAGAGGGCACCAGTTCTTATTACAGATGGTTATGAGTCACTATGTGGTTGTTGGGAATTGAACTCAGGGCCTCTGGAAGAGCAGTCAGTGCTCTTAACCCCTGAGCCATCCCTCCAGCCCTGAATACCTGTTCTTGAGAGGTAGAATCGCTTGGGAAGGATTTAGAGGTGTGGCCTCGTTGGAGGAGGTATGCCACTGGAGAAGGACTCTTTCTTCCATTCCCTGTATGTTCTCCGTCTGCCTTCTGTTTATGGGTTGATAGGTGAGCTCTCAGCTCCCGCTGCCACACCTTTGCTCTGCCAGCATAGACTCCAGCCTTCTGGAACTCTAAGCCCAATTAAGCTCTTTCTTTTATAAGTTGCCTTTAGTCCTGGTGTTTTACACAGCCATGAAAAAGTAACTAAGGAAAGTCCCAAGAGGCTCTGCTGAACTATTTTCTTAGTTCTTCTGTGAACAGAATCCTGTCAGGCCCATTGAACTGGGCATCAAAGATTGCTCGTCTCATGTCTATTATTCCATTATGCCTGTACTTCCTTTTCATCTTCCAGTCCCCAGTACTCACGGGGACTTTAGCTAGCAATAACCCCATGTCCTTAACGATTCAGCAGAGACTGAGTTCCTCGTATTGGCTCAGATGATGCACTTTGTATCAAGAGGGATGTGTAGTTTTGCTACTTAACTCCTGTGCTTCTGTGATGCTCACACTGCTTCCATCTGCCTGCACGTCTACAGGCTCACAGGCCAGATGTGAATGTTCTCTACCTCAGAAGCCTTTCCCAGTCCAAGCAGTTCAGTGGTAGAGCCCTGACCAGCGTAGTTTCCTGCCCTAGTCCTTTAGCAAAGCCCTCATCTGTATACTGCATTGCGATTGTCTTGGCTTCCATATTAAGAAGACCTGAGGGCTACCTTCTGTCACTTCTGTCCCATGCCTTCCTTCTTCGCTATCCAATTCTTCCCTCGGGCTCCATGTTTTTGGGTCCCAGCTGGAACTCTCTATTCTCTTTCCACCTTTGCTCCCCACCCTCACCCAGCTGTAGGGAGCAGCAAGCAGGCACCTCTATCTCATCCTCTCTTTTCCATCCACCATTGTATTTGGTAAATGAGAGAATAACGGGGCGGGGGGGGGTAAGGGGGGGTGCTACCCTGTGGTTTAATGTCCCTCTGGCCTGGTGCCAGAGGATAACAAACAACCTCCACTACCCATGAAACCCTGCTGGGTTATACCTGGTCTTCCTTTGTGTTACAAACATCTTTTGTTGTCCTATGTGACTCTTGACTGGGAGTTTCCCATGGATACAAAGCCTATGCAAAACTTGACTTACAGGAAACGGGGGAAAACCGTGGTACCTCATGAATCAGCAGGTATTCGCACCTGGCCTTGTATTGTCAGAAGCTTCTATCAGTTTGTTTTGAGTTATGGAAATCTATTAGCTAAAGTGTAAATACAGGAAAAAATAAAGATGCCAAAAGGCGAAGGGAAAGCTTCAGTTCACTGGGACTGAGCCTGTGGCAGCCACAGAGGCTAGGTCCATTCTCTTGGTGTCTCTGAGACTTCATTTCACGGACCTGCCCGAACCCACTAACCAGCGCCCCATTACATGTGACACTATCCATATGTCCCCTTTGGTACATCCCTTATACGAGCACATCTCCCCTGACAGCCATTTTGTCCTCAGTACCAAGTCCTTTTATTTTTTTTTAATATTTATTTATATATTATGTATACAATATTCTGTCTGTGTGCATGCCTGCAGGTCAGAAATGGGCACCAGACCCCATTACAGATGGTTGTGAGCATCATGTGGTTGCTGGGAATTGAACTCAGGACCTTTGGAAGAGCAGGCAATGTTCTTAACTTCTGAGCCATCTCTCCAGCCCTCAACAAGTCCTTTTATGCCCTGCAGCTGTCACATCAACAGTCACAGTTTCTCATCAGCAATCCCATATTTGATACTTCCAGGGACTGCAATGTATTCTCTTGTCATTCAATCACTTTCAGGGCATCCTCAAACACGTGGTGAACTTCACTCACTGTGGGATCTGTTTGGGTGGAAGCTTCACCTCAGCCCCTGGCATCCATATATTCAAAGAGTCTGGAATGTTTGGATGCTCCATCCTAAGACCCCTCCCCTGGGAGTTGCCTCAGTCCAGACTCCACCTTCAAGAAAGCCTGCCAAAAGGTGACCCCTCCCCAGAGATGCTCAAGACCACTCCCACAGGCTATTTGCCTCCCAGAGAACAAACACGTGGTTCTCTGGTCTTCCTTCCCAGTCTCCTCTCTTGGGAGCTGGAAGGCCACCCAGGAGCACTGGTATCCTTTAAACCTGGGCTTTTTTTAAAAATTCGTTTTGATTTGGTCTGATTTGGATTATTACATCGGCGGAGAGATATATCGGTCTGCAGAAACTTTTCAGGATCCTCTTCATGATACTCCACTTCAATATGGCTTAGTCCTTTTCAGTTGAATGTCTTGCTATCAATAGCAGGGCTCTTGTCACTACTATCATAGCAAGAAAGCATGCCAATATATTCTACATGGGAAGGATGGCCTTATTAGAATATCTCTCACAGGGCTGGAGAGATGGCTCAGTGGTTGAGAGCACTGGCTATTCTTCCAGAGGTCTTGAGTTCAATTCCCAGCACCCACATGGTGGCTCACAGCCATCTGTAATGAGATCTGGCGCCCTCTTTTGGTCTGTAGGCATACATGCAGAGAGAACACTGTATACATAATAAATAAATCTTAAAAAAAAAAAAAAGAATAGGGGGCTGGAGAGATGGCTCAGCAGTTAAGAGCACTGACTGCTCTTCCAGAGGTCCTGAGTTCAATTCCCAGCAACCACATGGTGGCTGACAACCACCTATAATGAGATCTGGTGCCCTCTTCTGGCCTACAGGCAGGATACTGTATAAATAAACAAATAAATCTTTAAAAAAAAAGACTATCTCTCGCAAACACTCTAATCAGTCACATACTTTGCTACCATAACAAGGGCCGTGTGATAACTCCCCCAACTTTATCTTTACTTATGTCATATTATATATTTTGGTGTAGCTGATGGTGTCTCAGTTTGCTTTCTCTTGATGTGAGAAATCCTTATTGTTAAGTTGGGAGCGTATGATAAAAACAACTTGAAGAAGCATTTATTTGGTTTGCACTTCCATACCACAGTCCATGGCTGCTGGAAATCAAGGGAGGAACTCAAGCAGGGCCCTGGAGGCAGAAACTGATGCCCAGGCCCCAGAGGGGTGCTGCTCCCTGGCTGGCTCTTCACGGGGCACTCTGCTTGCTTTCTTATTGAACCCGGGACCACCAGCTCAGGAATATCACTGCCCATGGTGGACGGGGTTCTCAGCCCTCCCACGTCAATCATCAATCCAGAAAATTCACTGCAGACTTTCCCACAGGGCAATCTGAAGGAGGCATCTTCTCAAGTGAAGTTCTTCCCAGACGAATTCAGTTTCTGCCAAGTTGACAAAAAAAAAAAAAAATCAATAAATAACTAGGACAGATGGCTGTTCTACAGAGTGAGTTCCAGGACGGCCAGGGCTGCACAGAGAAACCCTGTCTTGAAAAAAAAAAAAAGAAAAGAAAAGAAAAAGAAAGAAATATTTTACTATTAAGTAGTGGGAATTCTTTTTTTTTAATATTTATTTATTTATTATGTATACAATAATCTGTCTGTACGTCTGCAGGCCAGAAGAGGGCACCAGACCTCATTATAGATGGTTGTGAGCCACCATGTGGTTGCCGGGAATTGAACTCAGGACCTTTGGAAGAGCAGGCAATACTCTTAACCACTGAGCCATCTCTCCAGCCCCCAAGTAGTAGGAATTCTAAGTCTTCCCATACATTCTTAGTTTTAAAAACAGTATTATTGTGTGCGTGTGCGTGTATGTATGTGTGTGTGTGTGTGTGTGTGTTGTCATCCAGGTCCCACAGCACCACTTTGTGGACTCAGTGCTCGCCATCCGCTCATCAAACTGATGCTATCAGGTGTTTGTACCTGCTGAGCCATATTGTAGTAATAAGGGCGGCGGGGCTGCGTTCCCAGCACCCCGGCCGCCTGCACGGCTAGCTTATGCCCAAAATAACAACACACAAGCTGTATTCATTTAAACACTGCTTGGCCCTTTAGCCCTTACAGGCTAATTCTGTTATCCCGATCAACCCATCTCTAATAATCGGTGAGCATCGGTCTTACCGGGAAAGGTTCAGCATGTCTAACCTGGCGGCTTGCTTCATGGCGTGTGTCTGCCCAAGAGCGGGGCATGGCGTCTCTCTCAGGCGTCTGCTCCCGAGAGGAGAGCTGTGGAGTCTAAGCTCACTTCCTCTTCCTCCCAGCGTTCTGTTCTGTTTACCCCTCCCACCTATCTTCTAACCAATAAAATGGGCCAAGACAGTTCCTTTATTAGCCAATGACCTTCCTCCATCACCATATTGCCTCCAATCTCTCCTTAAATCTTTCTGTTCACCTTCTCCTCCCTCCCATCTCTTCACCCCCATCCTGGCTTCGGTCTTCCCATTCCCAGCACCCACCTTTTCTTTCCCATGTGGGCTGCTATTCCCATCCTCTCCTATGGCCTTTCTCCCTCTCTCCCAGGAGCTCTTTCTAGCTTCCTGGTCTCTACAGACACTTCAAATTAAACAAACAAATGTAAACATGAAAACCTGGGCTCGGCATATGAAAGAGGACATTTGGAGCCTGGCTTTCCGGGCCTGAGTTACCTTGGCATAGTTTCATAGCTGCACCTACTTTCCTGTGGATCATTCCTTTAGCCCATCTGTGCTGTCCTGTTTCCTAGCTACTGTAAATAGAGCAGCAGTGATTACGGATGTGTAAGTGACTTTGTAGTAGGATACAGACCCCTTTGGGTACATGTCCAGAGTGGTTCTTTTAGCTTTGTGAGAAATGTCCACACTCTAGTGTCTGCACCAATTTACACACCCGACAGTGGAAAACGGTCCCCCTCTCCCACAGCCACACCAGCTTTTGTTAAAACACCTTTCAACAACTCTGCATGTCTAGGAAGATTCTTTGTTTCTTCTGCTTTGCTGAGAACTTGAATCGTAAAGATATTGTTAGCGACCAGGTGTTCTCCCAGCCTGCCTTCAGCCACTCAGGGTCAGAAATCATATCTTCATCTGCTGCCAAATGCCACACTGATACCCTTTGAAAGGTCCCCACTATCACAGACCACTCAAGCTGTCTGTCTGTCTCTCCCTGTCTCTTGCTGTCTCTCTCTTGAACCTGCTCCAAGATGGACTTTTACTCCCTGCCCCCAATAAATATCTTGTATGAGATCTGTTGTGTGGTGTGATCTCTGTGGCTCAGATCTGCCAAGGTACTCTTCCACATAAACCTTAATTATTACTTATTTTATGTGTTATGGGTGGGTTTTTGTTTGTTGTTGTTGTTTTTTTTTTTTTTTGGTTTTTTGAGACAGGGTTTCTCTGTGGCTTTGGAGCCTGTCCTGGAACTAGCTCTGTAGACCAGGCTGGTCTCGAACTCACAGAGATCCGCCTACCTCTGCCTCCCGAGTGCTGGGATTAAAGGCGTGCGCCACCATCGCCCGGCTGTTTGTTGTTTTGGTTTGGTTTTGGTTTCTTGGAGACAGGGTTTCTCTGTTTAACAGCCCTCGGTGTCCTGGAACTCACTTTGTAGATCAGGCTGGCCGTGAATTCATAAAGAGCCACCTGCCTCTGCCTTATAAGTGCTGGAATAAAAGACATGAGCCACCACTGCCCAACTTTTATAAGAATATATATAATATATATTATAAAAATATGAATATATAAATAATATATCTATAATACACACATATATATGGATGTTTTGTCTGCATGTACATCTATCTGCACATCAGAAGAAGTCAATTGATACCATTAGACTACAGTTATAGATGGTTGTGAGCCATCATGTGGGTGCTGGGAATTGAACTCAGAACCTTTGAATCAGCTGTGTTATGGGTGTTCTGCTTGCATGCATGTTTGCATACCATGAATATGTATGGACCTGGGGAGGCCAGAATAGGGGATGGAACCCCTGAAACTGGAATTGCTGATGCTTGTGAGCTGCCATGCTGAGAATCATACTTAGATCCTCTGGGAAAATATTAATGAATAAATAGTAATAAAAATAGCATTAAAGGATATCGGTAGTGTAGATGAAAAATTAGTTTCAACTCTTTTTATATTTGATTTTCTTATTCTTATCTAATTGCCCTAAAAGACTTACTATTAACATGTTCAGAGGTAATAACTCATGATATGTACTATATAACAAGTGTTATTAGTTTATTAGTAAAAGCAGTTTTCCTCCATATTGAGAACTATAATGAAGTGTTTTGTTTGTTTGGTTTCTGGTTTTTTTTTTTTTTGGTTTTTCGAGACAGGGTTTCTCTATGGTTTTGGAGCCTGTCCTGGAACTAGCTATGTAGACCAGGCCGGTCTCGAACTCACAGAGATCCGCCTGCCTCTGCCTCCCGAGTGCTGGGATTAAAGGCGTGCGCCACCACCGCCCGGCTTGGTTTCTGTTTTTTTGAAACAGGGTTTCTCCATGTAGCCCTGGCTGTCCTGGAGCTTCCTCTGTAGACCGGGCTGGACTTGAACTTACAGAGATCTGCCAGACTCTCTGCTCTTTATTCTTTTTCTTTTCCCCCTCCAGTTTTGGGGGTTGAAATGAGGACTTTACATACACATCACTTTTTTTATTACATGTGTGTGCACACACACACATATGCACACATGCACAAAGAACGTTCTGTGGTAGTCAGAGGACGCCTGCTGTAGCTAGTTCTTCTCTTCTTCCACCCTGTGGGTCCTGTATCTGAGGGAGCAGAAAAGCAAGCGCTGAGATGGCTGCTCCATGGCTGAGGGAACAACAAGACATCCAGGGGCTTCGGGAAGAGTCTGGAGCAGAGAGGCTAGAGGGGACAGAGGGCATCTGAGGCGAGAAGGGCCGGGATGCTAGCTAGTGTGGGGCTTTGAAATGTATAATGGGCACTTGGGACTGAAGGAGCCTGGAGGCCAGCAGGAACTTTGATATGCTGATAGCTGCCACAGGTATAACCAATGAAGAGCCATGTCCCTCTGCCAGAGGCAAGAGAGATGACTCCTTTTGGTAGCATCCTGTTTCATAAGGTTCTGAGGGATGTTGGATTTAATCTAACCATCAGAAATTCTGCTTGGTTTCAGTTCAAGTTCAGCTTGAATGGAGTCTAGACTCAATTTTGGGCCAAGTTAGTAGGCCTGCCCCTTTGTAGGGAAACGGGGTACCCTTTGGACCTGTCAGGTCTCAAGAATGAAACTCACATTGTTGGGTTTAGGATTAAATTCCTTTACACACTGACTCCTCTCACTGGCCTTTTAGTGTTCTTTGTAGGGAAAAAAGACTACACAAAGAGACCCTTGGTTCCCTAGGTTACACTGCCCTGCCCCAAGAAATTCGGGTTTAAGTGGAATGGCCGAAGAGGGATCATTTGGCCATTAGGGGGCACCATACAGGCATGATTTCTCAAATTTTAAACGTAAGGAAAAAGAAGGCCACTTCTTAGGAAAAAAAAAAAAACAAAAAACAAAAACTACATTGGATATACAATGTTCCAAATATATTAGGACTACTTTAACCCTAATATTTTGCTTCCAAAATTACTAATAGTTTAGCCTTTTACCTTTTGAACACATATATTTTTCTCTTATTTCTAGCCTTCATTTCTGCTATTAGTGATATTTTTTTGTTTCTTGTTCTCTTTTTCTTTCTTTCCTTCCTTCCTCCTTCCTTCTTCCTCCCTCCTCCTTTATTTCTTTTTCCTTCCTTCCTTCCTTCCTTCCTTCTTTCCTTTCTCCTCCCCCTCTTCTCCCCCCTCCCCACTTCTCTCTTTCTGGCAGAATCTCACTATGTAGCCTAGGCTGGTGTGAACATGAAGACCAAACAGGCCTTGAACTCCTGGGGATCCTCTTGCTCTCCCTTCCAGTGCTAGGCTCCCCAGCACACTTGGTTGCCTCACTTTTAAGTGGGTGATCGTTTACAGAGGCTCTGTCATGTCCTAAGTGAACAAAATAACTGTCACTCTGGGCCATTCTTTTTTTTTTTTTTTTTTTGCCATTCTTTATTGTAGCTATCGTCCCATCCTTTTCTCCCTGTGACATTGTCAGAACTTGTGTATTTACTCTGGCAGCCTACACAAGCCTGCGCTAATTATCGTCTTGTTCTTGCTAGCGTGTGGCGCAGTCACCTAACCCACCATTTCTTTCAGGCTGCGTATGATCCCGGCTTGTCTAATTGCTTAGCTGTGCTGGCCTCTTCTCTCTGAAAGCATGTAGTCTTTCCGCCTCCCAGGGCTTGGCTCCCCGGAGATCTGTTCTCGTCCCTTAGCTCTCTTCTCAAGAACCAGTATCTACAAGGCCATATGCCATGTAACCTTTTGGTGAAAATTTCAAACTCTTCAATGAAATTATTTT